AAATAATTTGTTATATATATTAATTTAAATATTTATGTTAAATTATATTGCATTAAAATTTAATACTAATATAAATATATTTTTGGTAATAAATTATTTATTGATATGAATTATAAATTATCATTTTATGTTTTATTTATTTTTATTTATATTATATTATTGTGTTCTATATATTTTTAATTTTCTTATTATGTTATATATTTTACATACATTTTTAATTTATTTGAATATTTATATTAAAACTTATTTAATAAAAAATTGTGTCTGTTTTACTTTTTTTAATATATATGTTATTATATTATATATATATTTTTAATTTATAATAAAATTTTATTGTTAATAAAATCTTAATATTTTTATAAATAATCATTTTTATAAAAGTTTAATAAATATTTTTTTTTATATTATATTCATGTTTTATGTTATATTTGTATTTTATTTTAGAATATTTTATTAACATTATAGCTTTTATAAGTAAATATTTATTACTTTTTCTCATAGGCATTATTAAATATTAAATTATAAAAATAATTAAAGATAGTTACAAAGATAGCGAAAATGCATTTTTATTAAAAATCACTATTTGAAAACAATATTATTTTTTTAAATAACTGACCCATTATCCTGCTTTCCAATTAATATATAATAAATAACTTTTTTTTAAATTTTATTTTTTTAATTACTATTTCTAAGACCATAAAATAAAAACTTGTAAATTAATAAAAAATTTACATTTTAAATATTTTTTGTGTTTTAAAAACAAACATAACATACAATTATTATTTTATTTTTAAAATTAAATATAAATTTATTGTGATATAAAATAGAGTAAAATAGACACCATACGATCTTAAAGCTTTTATGATGTACTCTCTAATCTGTTATTTTTTATTTTTAAAAAGAATTATTTAAGTAACTACTTTGTATGGCTATTAAAATTTAAAAAGAAATAAATAAATTTTTTAAGATTCTTACATAGTAAGAATTAATTATTAGTTATATATATATTATTATTGAAATATTTTATTTATTGAATGAAAAATGAAATATTAATAATATATTAAATAATAAATAAATATAATATAAATATAATAAATAAATAAATATGTAGTTCACTACTGTTCGTAAAAACCTCTTTATAAATTTATATATATTATATTAAATAATATATATATATATATATATTAAATAATATATTAAATATTAAATAATATATTAAAACATATATTTTTATTTAAATATTATTATTATTATTTATTATAATTATTTATTTATTTATTATTTATATAAATGTTATAATTGAAACGTCGAGAGCTTAGTGATAGTTATATAGAATACTATGTAATGATAAAAATTAATTTACAAGCTTTTATTTTATCTTGTCACTTTACCTTTATATTATTATTAATTATATTATTATATATTGTAGTTATATATTAACTTATATATGTACATATATTATTTATAAATACTATACATATTAATTTATTTTTAGATTTAAATATTCGTAATAGAACACTATGAAATTTTTATGATCACATACATATGTATATGTACTTCAAAAATTTTTTATGTCTCTTACAAATTCAGAAAATTTTCCATTTTATTATTGTTATGATTTTCCTAACATATTTTTCACATATTAGGTTTTTCCTTGCAACAAATTTTTTTTCATTTTGTTCAACCACTTTTCCCCCCACAAAAATTCTTGTAATGCTGCTTTACTTGCTTGCTGCTGTTGTTTTTGTTGTTACTAATGCTACCAACAACAACACCAACAAGCATTCACTCTATTATAAAACTAAACTAGCAAAATGCCAACCCTACACCTTCCCGCGTCTTCTTTACATTGCTCACATATTATGCTACTTAGTTTTTCCTACTACCACTACTGCTGCCGCTGCTGCTGCTGCTGCTATTTTGGCTTGTATGTTTTCGTAAATTTTTACTATATTTTGTTTTGTTCACTATTCGCGTGTTATTTTTCCTCAAACAACAACAACAGCAACAACAACGACTGTGGCAAAAACACTAACTAACAACAAATATTCAACCTTTGAAAATATTTCTATATTTTCTATGCGCCTCAAAACATAACAGAAAGTTTGTATCAAAAGAAAAAAACGAAAACAAACCATTAAAAACGTTAAAAATGCCTACAACAAAACGGACGGACAAGCAAAGCATAACACATAACACACAGTCAGAGTCAGAGTAATTTAGCAGCAATTTTTGTCTATATTTTTCTTGTTGTTGCTGTTGTTATTTTTGTTTTTGTTTTTATTGCTGCTCGTCTCACATAAAATACACAATTATTATTTTTATTTTCTATCTCTAGGTTTGGTATTTTCTGTTTTTATTTTTATTTACTTTTTTTTTGTTTCTATACATACATTTTCTATGCTTCCCAAGCAATGATTTTTTTTTTGTATTGTTTCTGTTCTGTTTTTATATTTTTGGTCTATCGAACGTTTGTTGGTCGTCTCGTATAACCAAGACGTATCAGCCAGAGTATTATGTTATGCTGCTTCTGTCTACTGCTATTTATGCCGCTCTTATAGAATTTTCATATGTAAACACAAGCAAGTGCTACAATTCATTTGTAATTTTACTCTTGCTCTTGCCCACAATTCATTTCAACTACTCTTGCCTCCAGTAGGTGTTTTGTGGCTTATATCATCCAGTCTACAAAATTCGTACACATAAATAATTTTATAAAATATTTATATTTACAAACAAACTTATTAAGTAATTAGATAATATATAATAAAACAGCACAATGCAAGTTGTAATAATTTTATCTACATATATTATAGAGTCAACTTATTACTTGCTTAATATAAGCACTTAAGTTGAAAAAAAGTAGCAAACTAAAAACACAGTCATATTAACAGATTATAACAGCTTTAACAAGGTCATGCTAAAGCTATGTGATTTAATTCTCAGCGCACTGTTATTAACATTGTTTTTCAGTGAATAAATTTCACAATTATTATTTACATAACTAACTTTATTATTAATTAAAGAAAATATAATATCACTTATAATTCTATATAAAATTGCAGTCATATATACATATTTCTTTTGAATTAAATTTGTTTCAAAATTAATAGATTGGGTGTCATTTATACCAAAAGCAAAAAAAAAATTTTTTGAAAAAATTCCACTGCAAAAGTATGAAAAAGAAAACGAAAATATTATAAAATACTACTCTCATACAAAACTGCTGTGTAGCATTTCATACATGTACATATGTATGAAATTAATTTTGCTTTTTCGTATTTTGTACTCTACTCTACTAGCTGGCATCATAACAGCATAAGATACAACAACACCAACAAGAAGCACAACATTTCATTAAGCAGTATTCTGTTGTGTGAGCTCCCAAAGTTTAATCAAAAAAAAAAAACTACACCGTATGCCTGTTATGTTATAAAATTGCTCTCATATATCTTTTTGGGCTTTTATGAGTGCTCTGCTCTGCCTCTGACTTTTCAGTGGATTTGCGCTGCTGTTATTGTTGTTGTTTATTGCCCGTTTGCTTGCTTACTAGCCTTACTAGCTAGCTTGTGCTTGCTGGCTGTTTCTGTTAAATTTGTGTGCGCTCAATTTCTGTGTGTACTCCATAACTTGTGAATGCTCAAAAAACGAAGGCGCCACTTTATACAATTCCTTGCTGTTGTTGTTGGCTTACTTGCTTGCTTGCTTACTTAATAATAGAGAGCAGTAAAAATTTGTATGGCAAAGATACAGGTTTGAATTTTTTTAATATTTTCATTCTTGATTAGTTTTTGTGGCGCTCTTGTCGTGTCGGTTAGCTTTAAATTTGTATGAAACCAATGAACGCATTGCTTTTATGCTGTTAAGCAATGAAAATAAATTAAATATAATATATATATACATATACATAGTATAAATAAATAATTTTAATTTAATTTAAAAAATATATAAATTATAATAAATAAATTAGTGAAATTTTTGTTAAAAATAAAACAAAGCGCATATCTTAAATGTTAACCGTCGTTTTTACTGTTAAATGCTGTTTTTTTTTCTCGTTCAAATGAAAGTGCTACATTTTTGTTTTTTACTCAACATAAATTATATAGAAAAAGTACAAAATACAAAATATTTACTTAATTAACTAAAAGAGTTGAGAATTTCGCTGTGAATTTAATTGTTTTGTTAATGATTTAATAAATAATAAAAATAAAATTGGAATTTCTAAAACTTTAAAAACTATATATACATACTTAATGCAGCCACAAATTTTTATAAAATATTTTTGATATGAAAATTAAAACAATGTGCGTCGCCGTTATTTCCTTTTTATGAGACTAAATTGCGTTTACACTTAATTTTTTTTGTTTCTGTTTGCTGTTGTTTTTTATTTTTTTTAATTTTTTTTTTGTGGCGCAGTTAAATAATAACGCAAAATAATTCCTCGCACTCTTCTGAACTGAACTTCACTATATTATTACATAGCATAGCATAACATAGCAAACACACTCATACAACATACAACGTCGTTGTTTTTACTGCGTTGGAATTTGTACTATGGTCACCCTTGTGTTCGCCTCGCCGTACATTTTGTTCGTTTGCTCCACTACACCTACCAACGACGACGACAACAGTTAGTGTAGATTTCATGTTACATCCAATCCACACATCTCCAATACGCACTGCAGTGTTTATTATTATTACAGTTGTAACATGTTAGAGAGTGAGTGAGCGTAAAAATAGAAAATGTAAAAAAATCAACAACAAAACAAAAAAATATTTGTTGTGCGTTTTCTCGTAAATTCATTCATTCATGGAAAAATTTACTGATTTGTTGTAACAAAAAAAAAAAATAAATAAATAAATATATAAAAACAAAAAAGGAAATTAATATCAAAACAAAAAATTTACAAAAATACAAGAATAAAATTAACAAGTGTAACTTGTAAAATTACAAAAAAAAAATAATAAATTATCAAAAGTGTTCAGAAAGTGCTAAAAATTTTACTTAAAAAAATTTATATTAAAAATAAGAATTACGAGTACCTAGTAAAATAATTTTACTTATATAAATGGGAAAACGACAGCTAAGAGAGGTAAAAATAAAATTATAAACATTAAAATATTTGCTAGTATATTAATAATAAATAATTACACAATACTACACATATAGCTGAGTTTTTCTGTAGTCTGTTTTGGAAGTGTTAATAAACACCACTTGATCGTCGAACTCAATGAGTGACTGTGGGATATAAATTGAAAGGGATAGGTTAGGCAATCCAACCATTACACTCTTATTCTTAAGCAATCGTCGGTGGAGACGCTACCATCATCTATCCACATTCTAACTCATGAATATATAAGGGCTTTGAAATTGCCTTCATCTTAACATCTAATTATTTATACGATACCAAAATACGCCAATAAGCCTAAGTGGATTGTTAGGATCGCAGGTATAGCCTCAGTTAACTTAACCTAACCTACATATTGAATATATTGCAATACTATATCAAAGCGATTCCAATCAAAATCGTCTAAAATGAGTGAAGAGTTGTAACAAACTAAATAAAAACAACATAAGAATTATAGGAATTCTAACACGGTTCACACTAACAAGTTGTAGGTTGACACTAACAGAACTTACACCTAGCTCTTCTTGGTGATCTAACTGAGTTTCTCCAACAACATAGTTCTCCAATATTTCTTATCTAGCTTTTATAAGTTATTTTTAATGGTATATATTATATATTATATATTTTATGGTATATATTACATATTTATTTATTATATGTTATATATCAATATAAATATATTGTAACTTTCTATATAAGCATATGAACACCTTGTATCTTGTTAAGTATTCAATATGTACAATACAATCGTACTCAACTCTCTACGTTAAAGAAAATTAATATAAAATAATTTGTATGTAACATATATTTTACACACTTAAAGTATTCTATATTTAAATATAGAATTAAATCCGCTGTATATTAAAATTATTTAAGTCATTATATAACTTTTCTGGAATTAAATAACTTTCGCACAGGAAAATTTTTCTGTAGATAATATTTATCTCTAAATTATCTTATTATAACTACATTATCGTATTATTAATTATCTTTAAGTTACTAAATATATAAATTCCATATATACGAAACCAAATAATAATAATACGTAAAAAATGTCTATACTTATTAATAATTATTTTTATATATTTTATATTGTACATTTATTGCTATTTTTTTAATAGTTTAAAGGTAATAGTTAATGTAGAGATAAATATTAACTCCATTAAATCAAAACGAAATAATAATGATACGTAAGAAATTTTCATAACTATTAATTATTATTTTTTATATTGTATATTGCAGTATAAATATTCTTTACTATATAAAAATATAACTATTTATCTTTTTTTTTCTCTATTCATTCAGAGAAATATATTTACGTTAGCAATCCATCATTGTAGAGCTTCATCCTCCACCTATTCAATGTAGAAATAGAAAGTGTGAATGAATATTCATTTTATTTATTATATTTCAGTTTTTTAATTAATAAAATTTTATTACAAAAAAATCCCGTCATTTGAATAATTAATAAGCTTTATTTATTATATTTTTTTTTCGATTTTTTTTAGTTGTTTTTGTATTTTTTTTTTGTTGTGGTTTTTTTTTTTTGCAAAATAAATAGTCGTTGACTTCGTAAATCTACCGGTTACTTGTATCTACACGGCAAAAAACAAAAAAACAAAAAAAAAGAAATATATAAACCTCGAACACATTTAATTCTTCGCGGTAATATCAAGTGTCTTTGAACACAAAAAAAAAACAAATAACTTAACAATTGAAATTTATAAAATATGCAAAACGTGTACGTATGACTACAAATAATATTAATAAAAAGAATTAAAAATCAAAAAAAAATATATATATATATATATAAAAGTTATATAAAAAATTTCAATAAAAAAAACCCATAAAAGCATAGAAATATTTCCAAGAAATTTTAGTTTTCTGTTTTTCAGTTTAAAAATATCTCAAAATAGTCAAAATGAATGAATACAAAAAAAAATAACTAAAAATTTTTTTTTGTTATAATTTACATTTGAATTGTATTTCCATAAAGCATGGAAATAAAATATATTTATTTGCTTTATAACATATTTATTAGTATATTAATTTATTTCACATATATCACTGCAATATCACAATAGCTGAAAACGGATTTGCTGTAGAAAAAAACATTTTCATTTAATTAAAAGGAAAAATAAAATGAAAAATACAATTTTTTTTGCCAGTGTATACATTGTCTATATTGGCAGCAAATGCCTTTAGCTTTCTTATAGAAACAATTTCTTTTTCTTTCTACGAGCAATACCGCCCCCTACTTCCTGCTAACACCTTACAAAAATATATATTATATTTTTATTAAACAAATTGACGCCATAGAAAAGACACTCACTCACTCAGCCGACACAATAACATAAATGTAAATACAAAAATAAAAATAAAATACTTCATATATATAGAAAGTATAATATATATATTTATATATGTATATATATTTAAATTTCATTTAAATGTCATTTTAGTCTAGACAAGAGAGGTTGAGAACGAAGATGACAAATATTTCAATGCGTGTCTATGCTCATTTGTTTCTGTAGCTATTTGCAGCTATAGCCCACATATATATAAATATATATACATATTTATATATACAAATATGTATGTATTATATTTATATCTATCTATTTATCTATCTACAAATGAAAATAAGTTGACAAAAGTATCTCTTTGAGTGAACGTAACAAGTGAACAATTTACAAAAGTCGCCGATACTGACAACAACATACTATGGCTGTCCTGTCCCCCTTCGCAATCATCGATGTCAAAATCGGTGGCAATATCGGTGTTCTATCTTTTAGTATGCGTCGTTAACTCTTGTTGTCATTGAGACACAGAAAAAAAAAGCTAGCAAAGCATTTTGTTTATATATCGCAAAGATATAGTTTAATTCTTTTTATATATATATGTTTATATATATATGAATATGTATAACAAATTCTTTACAATAATAAAAATATTTAAAAGATTTGCTAAATAAACAACGATAAGCTGCCTCTTAACCAAAGAGTATTTTAAAAAAATCTATTTTGTAGACTGTATATATAAACTTATAAATATATATAAGTTTATACTAATATTTTGTATTATATTAATACAAAACCAAATAATAAAATTTAAATAATTTTATTTATCTTATTTTATAATATTTTAATTACTCAAAAAACTGTACGCTGCTATTTGCTACAATATACAGAAGTTTATCTTAGCTGTTTTCAATTTATATTTACATATAAAATATATATTAAAATATTTTGTGTATATTTTGTTTGTTTTAAATATATACATAAATATATATACATATATATTCTGTACTTTCGTTGTACATTTTACGCAATTTGTGTAGGTGTTCCTTTAAACACTGTTCTTTCCCCCCCTTCTCAGAGTATAGCATTTATATCATGCTACAAGAGTATTTCGCCCCTGTAAATACACACCCACCCATCTATCTATTCATCCATCGATCCAACCATCCACACACACTACATACTAGCATCTCTACTCTATTTAGCAGCTGTCCGTCCGCTTTGATTCACCTTTGCAATAGATTTTTGATCTTGAAGTTGCTTGCCACGGTGGCGTCTTCTTCTTGTGTGCCTCATATATGCATTTTTGAAATATTTTTTAATTTATTTCGGGAAAGAATTTGAACCAATAAACTTTGGCGGCATAAAGACGACAAACATTTATAAAATTTTATTCTTCAAAAAAAAAGAAAAAATAATCTTTCTATTTCTGCATTTTTTTTTTTAATTACAAAAATAAAAATTGTCTGTGCTAATTTTGCTATAAAACGCTTTCATTATTTCAGTTTATCATTTTATTTTTCTTTTTTTTTTTGCTAACTATTTTATTTAACAAGTTAATAAAAGTTCAGAAAACTTACGCATAACTATCGACTTCTTATCACCACAAATAACCACAAAAAAAATGAATAAAAATAAAATTAAAATGAGAAAAAACGCGTAAATTTCCGCCAAATATCCAAAGCACATGATCGATCATTTATCAGTGATTTTGGTATAATTTTAGTTCATTCAGTTTGAGAACATGTTTACCGAAAAGTCCCGAAAATAAAATTAAAATAAAAAATTTATTAAAAAGTAATAAAAGAATACTAATATAATAATAATAAAAAAAAACAAATGAAAATAATAAAAATAGTTGGAATAAATAAGATATAGAATAATTAATTGCATTATAAAAAAATGTAAAGTAAATGTTAAACACTAAACTTAATAAAATTTACAAACAAAAATATATATATATAAATATAATAAAAATGCAAAATAATAAAATATTACAAATAGAAAAAGTCAAATTTAATTCAACCGGGTTTAGGGTCGGTTATTCGAATTGGTAATAAGTAACACTAAATTTTTGTTAAAATTTTTACAAAATTAAAAATAAATTATTAATTAATAAAAAATTAAATAAAAAAAATTAATAAAAAAAATTATAATAAAAAAAAAATTAATTAAAAAAAGTGATAAAAATATAAAATTAATAAAAAAAGGAATTAAATAAAATAAGTAAAGAATATATAAAAACTAAATATGAAAATAGAAAAATAAAAATACATAAAAAATAAATTAATACGTTAAAAAGAAATATTTATATATAAAATAAATAAATCATCTTCAGTTTTCAAATTACTTCTGTTAAATATTATTATCAAAAAAACTTTTCACCTCTGCTAGCAGTTAACGCCATTTACTTATTCGGCTAGAAATCGAGAGTTGACTGTATTCTTAATTTATTTACGCCAACATTTTTCATATTAAATCACACGATCAATCCTAACAAATCTTTAACACAAACAAAAGAAAGAAAAAAGTTAGCAAATAAATTTCAATTATAACTTAACTAGCTTAACACTAAACCAGATAAAACCGTTACTTTCAGCATTTTGTTTTTTGGTTTTTAATATTTTTCTGGTATTTCCGGTAAGAAACAATTTCCAAAAAAAACAATAAATTTATTGAATATTTCATTACGAAAAAAAAAAAAAAGAATTATGCATAAATCAAACAAATTATATGTGCATAGTCGCAGTTGAACGATATTGACACGGTATAGCTTACCAGGGTTAAAGGTTAAATTCACATTCTCGATATACTTGGGTTTGTGCTTATTTACGCAGTGTGCTTACTGTTGCTGCTGCTGCAACATATGCAAAAGCTTTTGCGTGTGTTTACAAAATAACAACAAAATAAAGCTGTTGCGTGAGTGTGCAAAGTGTTATGATCATAAGCTTATGAGATCATGTCTTAACATAACTTTTTTTCTTCTTATACTACACACACACACATAGTACGCATACACAAATAATGAAATACAGTGCGGCAGTGGCACGATGGTTGATTTCTTATACTTACACAATATATGTAAGTGTAGTAGTTTTGTTAATTTTTTTATTGTTGTTATTTTACTTTAAAATTTTATTTATTTAGTAGACGAACAACATTCCAATAAACAACAGCAGCATAGTCGCACGTCTAGCACAAATATATTAAAAAACCAAAAACATCTGATACAAAAGCAAATCTAAGCTTAAATTGAAAAACAAAAATCAAAACCAAAAACAAAATGTAAAAGCAACAATAATAACAGTAAGAGCAAAATCAAAATCAGAACAACAACAACAACGTAACATAACTGAAAGTTGAATGAAATTTCTGTGTTAGAGACTCTTTTCGTTTTATTGTTATTGCAGTTCTGCTACTGCTGCTGCTGGTAATACTTATTGTTGTTGTTATTTTTGACTTTGTTATTTTTTTTTATATCTATGTACCTTAAAGTCATTGTTCATTGCTGTGTATATTAACTTTACTAATTGGCTTATATTAGAAAATAAAAAATTTAAGTTTTTTTTATTTATTTTTATTTGTTTGTGTTTTTGCTTAATGATTTCTTTACACCTTTAAATTATTTTACATTACTACATGAGCACGCAATTAGGAAGCCTTACAAAAGTATTTTACATATTATTATTATTATTATTATTTTAGTTCTATTTTACTGAATGCATTAGTCAAGTATTTATACAAAATGCACTTAAACTGCATTTAGTGCAAAACTAAATTAAATTAAATTATTATTTTTATTTATTAATGTTTTTTTTATCATATAATAATATGATTATGATTATTATTATTTTTATTTTATTTAAAGTAGTTTTGGTAGCATTGTTTGTTTTTATCACTTTTAATTATATAATATTATATCAGAATTATAAATAAAAGATTTAAAAATTAAATATTAATAATTCTGATTTATATATAAATGTGTATGTTATGTTATATACGAGGATAGTAGAGAAACTGTTTTTATTAAAAATTAATACCTTATTAAATGTTATCTTTAATATTTCAAACACACAATTGGGGATTTTTCCATTGCCAAAATTCCTTCACTCATTTTATTTCTCTTATTTTTTTTTTGTGGTTTATTGTTTTTGTTTTGATATTTTTTTTTTATATACATATTTTTAACCATATTTGGCCATTAGCCTTATGCAAACGACCGACCAACCGTTTTGAATGGTCAAGCATAGTAGCTTATGTGAAATGCTATTAGCGAAGCAAAAACAAAAAAAAAAAGAAATAGGTGTATGTGAAGTAGAAGATAACAACAACAATAATAATAACAACAATAATAATAACAACATTAAAACCAACAAGAAATAAATCTTGCTTTGATTGAGCTTTACACACACCGTTGTTTGTTGTTTTTTTTATATTTTTTGTTTTGTTTGTGTAGTCGCTTTTGTTGTTGTTCGTACTGTTTGTTGTTGCTCTTGTAGTTTACTAAAAAAGTATAAGCAGCAGCATAAGAAAAAGAACAGCTTAGCATAGCATCAGAAATACACCACAAAAAAATAGCTTCAGTAAATAAATAGAAACAATGGTAAGCACAGTGTTTTAGGCTATTGTTGTTGTTGTTACTGTTTTTCGTTGTTGTTTAAGTTGGCCGGCAAATGAACTTTTGCAAGAGGATCCTTGAACTCGACAACTTAAGCAAAACTGATCTTGTTGTTGTTGTTCTTGTTGTTAAATGGTAGTGATGATAATAGTTGATAATTATGATGCTGACAATATTGTTTTGTTGTTTTTTTTTTTTTTTGTAATTTTTGTTTTGATAATAAACATTCTCTTTAAACTGTTTCATGTTTTCTTTTTGGATTTATATTCTCTAAAATTTTTTTTTATTAAGCGGTTAAGCTACATGATTAATTTTTGTTGGTAATATATATATATATTTATAAATAATATAAACAATTACGTTTTAATTTTTTCATTTTTAATTGATTTTAATATATATATATATATGAGTGTATGTGTATGCGTGTGTGTGTTTAGACTAAAATGCCCAACAGTGACTTGCTTATTTTCTTGTTTGTTTATAGTAAACATATAATAAAACTACGTAAAACTTAAGCACTTGTAATTTTTATGGCCTTATTTACGTTTCACGCAAATAGAAAGAGAAAGAGTGTCAGTATGATACTCGTATTCTTAAAAGATCGTATGTATGCGGAAGTTATCTATTTAGTTACACAGTTTATGCGTAGACTAGATTAGTGCGTATGAGTATTTTTTTTACCTTTTGGTATGAGCGTGTTTTTTATGCAGTGCTATTGCGAAATTTACACTATGACAAATTATTTTATGTTATTTTTTTATTACTTAGTTAAATTTCATTGAAAGTTTATTTTCAAAAAAGTGCTAATATTGTATAAGTTTATATGGGTTAGTATATTTTTATGTGTGCTTTTAAATTAAAAACTTAAATAATTAAGTAGTTTTATACTAGTTTATACTATACTACTATAGCTATGTAAACTTTAAGTTACACTTTATTGAAAATTTTTATTAAAATCAATAAGAGTCAGTTAGTCTATCAACTAGACATCGTGTCATTCATAACTCGTATTTCTTAGGACAATTCAAAATAGTTAATGAATATTTTATTATTTATAATTCTTAAAACTTATTTCTTTTGACACTTTAACCATGCGGATTGCTACTTTTAATAGGTAACCTGTTTTCTTAAGAAAAGTCCCCTTTATTTAAGTCTAAATTATTCATGAGTTCATTGTAAAAAAGAAAAAATATTTCTGTTTTAAGATTTATTTTTATACATATTATATTACTTATACAAATAATTTTTATATTTTTCTGAAAAAAAAATTTTTGTAAACAAAACAAATTTCACATATAAGTAATAAGTCGGATTCGGTATCTGTTCAATGGCTATAGACTCCAAGTAAAATTTTTCAGTTGCTTATCACAAACAGCGGCAGTTCATAGGTTCAAAATATTGTTTTTTTTTAAATATTTAAAATGTTATCGAATGAAAATACTCTAAATGATAATAGTTATTTTGAAAGTTTATTAATAAATATTTTTTTTGTTTTGAATATTTTCAATTTTTCAATAAATACATTTTTTTCAATGATTACTTAAATTTATATATTTCAATTATACTTTTAAAGTATGTTTCATTAATGAATTTTAATATTTACATTTCGTGTTTTTTTTTGTGTTTTTTATAGATAAACGGTCCACAACAACAGCAACAACAACAGCAGCAACAATATTTATCAACGTGCAGCACAATGCCAGCTATGCCAAAAGAAAAAGCTACTGCAGTATCGTTGAGCGAAAGTAACTTTACAGAATTAAAATTAAAGGAATTGACCACAATGGCGACCACAGCAACAGCAACACCAACACAAGCAATATCAGCTACAAATCGTCTACATAATAATACCACAAAAACAGCGCAACAACAACAACAACAACAACGCAATAATGTATGCGGCTGCGGTGCTGCTACAACAGCGAACTCAAATGATTTAGTTGAAAGTCTCAAATACATGTCAAATGGTAAGTGCACTGCAATATCTACCAAACATACCAATACCATATGTATGTATGTAAATATATAAACTTAACATATAAATATACAATTTGTAATGTTATTAAATAATTTCTTTATGCATTTACTTATTGTTTTTTGTTTTTGTCTTTGTTTTGTTTTAAAAGGTCACTCCTCACCCTTAGCTGCGGCAGTCGCATCACAAAATTCATGTACTACCTTATCACCACAACGTATTAGCAGCGCCACCACTACCACATGTTGTCAAAATAACAGATTACAACAACAACAACAAAACGGTGGCACAACATTAAATGCAAAAAATATAAGAGTAAATGACAGCAGAACAGCGAATACGAATACGCCCACAAATGCTGCCATCACACCGCCACGAAGATCGCCGAAGGATTTTGTATTTGGTAAAATTATTGGCGAAGGTAGCTTTAGTGTTGTTTACTTAGGACGTGACGTACATACGCGGCGAGAATATGCAAGTAAGTTTACTATAAATTATTTTTGTTTTATTTTGTAATAAATTAGTGATAAATTATATTTAAATATTATATATATTATATTATGTGTATACAATGTATCATTACATTTTTTTTATCTATTTTTGATTATTTGTGCGCGTGCAGCTTCCTTTTTCCTAAGAATTTGTTACGCTTTTATCAAAGAAAATGTTTTGCAAATTCGTATTGTTTTTGATAATTTTTTTTAAGTGTCATAAAAACACATGGAAAAAATTATTTTATAAATATTAGTGTGTTTATAACAAATATTGGCACTTATGTCAATGAACAATTATTCAATAATTTAATCAGTATTTAAAAAAAAAATGCTCAGCAAAAAATAAAATAAAATTGATAAAAAAAAAAGTGACGGTTAAGTTATATTGGTGTGAGTGGCGCCAAGACCTAAACAAAAATTGCTATTCCCCAAGCGCCTTAAATCGTGCTAATTTGTAGTAAAGAAATTATCTAAGCAATTAGTTCTAGCTACCACTTACATTTTAACCGGCGACTCTTAACATAAGAACAGCTACTTTCAGGTAATTTAATGAACCAGTAGAGCAGCAGCAGTGTAGTAGAGTAGAGAATTCAATTTGCGCTTCGTGACGCTCACTTATTTGACCATTCCGCCTCGTGTTAGCCAACAGTTAATTGCTGTAAGCCATAATTTATTTTGCCACCTTTACATGCTTCAACATTTTCTGACTTACTCTTACTGGCTCTTACTCTTACAGATATTCAGATATTCAGATATTCACTTACTACTTGACAGTATAGTATAAACTTAAACTATATGTTAGATTAGAGTAAACACTAACGCGTTAACATTTCTTACAGTTACTAACGACTTGCTGCTGCTATCTCCTCTACTTGTTGTTGTTTTTGTTGGTCGTCCGAACTCTGCGCTTATCTAACTTGCATCTTATTATTGTTATTATTTCAATACTAATTACTGTATAAAACCTACATAGTCTTTGTGGTCGACTTGGTCTTATAGAAAATAACAGCAAAATATTTATTTAATTCATTAATTATTTCTTTATTTTTTTTCTTACTTTTTTTATTTATTTATTTATTTAAAATTTATTTGCTTTACCGTACATTAAATTTTATTTTGGTTTACGGCAGTTAAAAGCGGCAAACATGATTTTTGTATAATTTGAATGCATTAAATTTACATTTGTTGTTTTTAATTTTTTAAATACATATTTCTTTTTGTTTTTGTTAAATATCTTTTTCTTATATAGATATGTAGTATGTATTAGTATGTTTGTTAGCACCACCAATAATTCGCGTACCGCAGCTATTTTGTGGCTTATCTATATGCGAAAAAATTTCAAGTGCAAATTTAATCTAAATTTTAAATTTTAATCAAGAAAAGTTTTTTTTTTGTTATAATAAAAAATATGCCGATGTCAGCACACGTTTCAATCGTGTGATTTTAATTTTTTTTTTCTCCATTTTTTTATTACACTTTAAAAATATTTAACTCGAAATTAATTCAGTTTTTGCTTCGAACCACAAACAACCAATCCGTCTGTTCTATGTAATTTTTAATTTTTGAAATTAATTTCAATTCTATATGAAAGTTTATTTTTAAAAAGTTAGAACAAAAAACAATATTATAGTTACATTTATGCACCCGATGATGGGGCTGGAACCTTTTTGTGGACTAGGACATAATACGCTCCTAAGCTATGTTCTTTAAAAGTAAAGGCGAAACGGAATAAAAAGAATTACTGGAATAATATACCAGGATTAACACAATTCAAATCACTTATTGCTAACTATAACAATAAGAGATACCAGGATTGTATGAACCTACTTATCAAAAGAAAAACTTAGAATCAGCACAGAAATTCCTACAAGGCACTGTAAACTAAAATACCACCTTACAAGACTGGGTGTACATACGGATGCAAACTGTAGATTCTGTGTAGAGAATGAGGAGTGAGAGACAATTATTTGTTCTGGCACAAAAAAGCGAAAGAGGTGTTTACCAAACAAATTTTTACTCTTTAACACACCTATTATAAGCTATCCAATAGTTACAACTTAACTACTCTAAATTAATATAACAAAGTTGCATGTACAATAATAATCGATCAACAAAAGCATCGTTAGATTTGAACACTTCTGTTAAAAATCAATGGTAAAAAATAACTCATACATCATCAATCTTAAAAAAAAAAATTTGTTATGTAATCAAAACTGTTCTTAAATTGTTATATATACAATTATTTTATATATACAAATATATACATAATTATTGTTTTTTTTTTTTGCTAAGCGAAAAAAAAAATACCATTAAAATCACAACTAGCACATATCTCAGATAATTTTTTATCAGCTAACATACATATATTATTTTCATTTCTTGTCAAATTATTTTAAAAAAAAAATATGTATTTTTTTTTTAACAAAAATAGAGATTAATAATTACATATGTATGTACATGATTAAATTACTTCCTAATAAGAAACTAATTTATGCTATATAGAAATAATAATATTACATAAAAATCACATAACTTACAAAACATCGCGACCAATAGTTGTTCGATTTCAGCTTTAAAAAAAAATATTAATTGTTGTGTTGTGGCTGTTGTTGTTACTGTTTTTCCAGTTGTTTTCCGTTAAAAACATTGTTTACATATAAATAAATTTTTTTTCTTTTTAAAATAATAAACGACAAAACAATATTGCCGTCGCCGTCACCGTCACCGTCGTTGTTTTCTTTACTCTATTGATTACAGTTTTTATTTAAACGATCTGCCGATCAACAACGTATTTTCACAGTTTAATATTTGATATCAATGATGATGTATACTATAAAGACTATATAAACTTACATATATTATAAATACAGAAAGTATACATAACATAGAAGTATAGTGTAGTATTTTGACTCGATTGAAAATGTGATAAGCTCAATTATTAGTTTGTTATTACGCTGTATGAGCATTTTTTTTTCTTTCTGTTATTATGATTACTGTTACTATTGATTTTTTTTTTGTACACATTTCCCAATCAAAAGTGCTAAAGTACAATAAAAACAATTACTTAAGTAAATGTATTAATTTTTATTTTTTTTTTATGTTTTTTTTTTATTTGATGTATATATTAAGTACAGATACTTAAGGGTATAGTAGTGTAGTACTCATTTTAAGTGGTAATAAAATGAAATATGTAATCATTTGCCCTCCATAATAATAAAAACAATTTTGTTTAAATATTATGTTATGAATATAAACTGTTTTATATCATTTTTTGTTTATTCATAGATACATGTACTTGTATGTCATATATCTTCAATTCTTACTTCAATTTCTACTTTTGTCAAAATTTAATAGTATTATTTAATTGTCATAAGTCACTATTGTATTAACAACTGCAATATTTTTTTACAATTTTTAAATTGGCTTTTTATTATACTACTTTTTCATTCATATATATTTATTTACATACATACATACATGTAGATATGTACAAAAGTAAATTTTTACATCATTCATGGAAAGTAAGTGTATGAGGAGACGTCTGAATTTGCCTTTATCTGTTTTTACATTTATTGTTTTCAACTCGCGGCACGTGTAGAAGATATAAATTCGACCTAAATCGGTATATTTCCCCGCCGCAACCTACTTTTTACGTCATACCTACTACTTCTGTTTCTTTAATTTACAATATGTAAATTTTTCTTTTTTTTTTTCATTTTGTGATATAGAGTTGACGCCCTTTGTGTTGGCTGTTTAAATATAATTAACATATTTTAGTTTGTTTTTGTTAGTTCTATTAGTTCTTTAATATTATAAAAAAAATATAGAGTAATAATAACTATAGGTTTCTTTGCATTCAATTATTATAAGAAATATATATTAAAATTAATTTAATTTAAAAAAATTTTAATTCTTGAAGGGAAATGTGAAATATAATTATATTTAAATGAAATCGATTCAAATTTCGATTTAGATAGCTTCAATGTATGATTTAGATATATCTCGTGATTAATTGTACTTTTAAAAAACATGGATATTGGCTCATAAGGGTGACGGAGCTTCAATCTGCTTATTGGATGACTTGAAGTTTAAAATGTTTAAATGAAAAACATTCAATAAATTAAATTTCTTTAAAAAACAGTTTTTCTGTTCCTGCTGCTAAATTCTGTTAAAAATCTCTGTTAAAATTCCTTAAAAAATAAGTATTTTGTTTGAATACGCATTTTTTCTGTTCCTTGTGCTAAATTCTCTGTTATTTATTAATTTTATTAACATGATTTGTATCAAACAATATATTGTGCTTCATATGTACTTAAATATTGTTCTAATTAAACTAAACAGCAGCACCTTCAACACAACACTTTTACTGTTACCTGCTTTAATACAATAACGCCACCATTTTTCCTTTTTTTATACAAATGCTGCTACTGTTGCTTCCCTTAACAGTTGTGTATGTTAATTTATTTTTTTATTTCCTTTTTAATGTTTTTATGATAAGAGTTTAACCCAAATGACGTTGCAATTTATATTAAGTAAGACGTCAGCAATGTCAATTTTTTACTAAAACAAAAGTACAGTTTTTACTTTACACCAAAAAATTTGTATGTATGTATGTCGTCGGAGTCATTAAAAAATGTTAACTTTTACGTAAAATTTCAATTTTTGTTTTTTTTTGTTGTATAGCAAAGAAATAAAATAGGTAACTTTATTCTGTCGCTGCTTACGTCTCTGCTTACAGTTGCGTCATTTGTAAAGCTTTTTCTACATTTTGCTGTAGTTTGCTACTTATAATTATTAATTTTATTAATATTATAAAAGAAGCAAACCAACATTTTTATTTTCAAATTGTTGTTATTACTTGTTATGTGATTAAAACTTAATTTAATTATTGGTTTCAGATTTTTTTTTGAATTACTATAGTTAATACGTAACAAATTTAAGTAAAATAATATTTACTTAAAATGTTTTCTTTTATTTTTCTATA